ATCATCATCATCATCATCATTATCATCATCATCATCATCATCATCATCATCATCATCATCATCATCATCATCATCATCATCATCATCATCATCATCATGACATCATCATCATCATCACCATCATTATCATCATCACCATCATCATTATTAGTAGTTAATAAATATATTCTTCATTGATTTCCAGTTCCCAAATATCGGCCCAGTAATCTGACAGGACATAATTCCAGTTCAACAGAACTTTACTTGACATGGAATCCGGTACCAGAGGAGAACACGTATAAAACACTACACGGTTATGTTGTATACGTTATCGAAACAGACACTTCTCGTGTTGTCAAGAATATCACAACGAATACATCGACACTTGAAGTACATATTGATGACTTGCGAAAATTTAGAACATATACTCTCTACATTCGAGCGTATTCAATTGATGTTGGCGTCCAGAGTGTGACTTTGAACTTGACTACGTCAGAAGATGGTAATTGCTGAAGATTTTATTTTTATACTGGAATCAGTTAAATATGGGCTTTCTATTATACCGTTACGTTGACGTGGTCGTAAAAGAAACCACGTTCTGATCTCGTTATTTCTTTACAGCACCCGACGCACCACCGGATAACTTTCAAGTCTTCAACTCAAGTTCCAGAAGTCTTCGTATTGAATTCAATCCTGTTCCCCCTGATCTCATAAATGGCATTTTGCGTGGATATCGCTTGTTCTACTGGAAAACACGCGAGGGCAATCACACGCGTAAGAACTTCACTATAAGCAAAGAACCAGATTCTGTGACGTATAGAAGACGAAAGCGTAGCGTGGGTCAGTACCACGAAGGATATCCATTGTTTGCTGATATTTATAACTTACAGGAGTATACGAATTACACTGTGCAGATCCAGGCCATAACTGTCCTTGACGGAGTGTTGGCACCGCCGTTTACCACCTTAACAGGGGAAGACCGTAAGTATGGAGCTATTAGAAAGCTAGGGAGTTCTAGTCAGCTTTCTTTCAGGTGTGAAGGATGCAGTTCAAACGTAATCATGTCTAATGCTTGCTAGGGCACCTCAGCGTGCCACCATACAACTCATGTCTGATCACGGAATTGAATTAAGGTGGAAGGGTTGGTTTTGGTGAGTGAGGAAATCAGTGTACTGGGAAAAACCCTCAAAGTGCAGGAGAGTGCATGTGCCCCCCTCCCCCGCTGTGACAGGGTTGTATTGCGGCAGTATGCAATTATCTGAATACAACTCCACCTCAATCGTATGCGAGAAGAGCACTTTGACTTTACCAAACATTTTTAATTTTATCGTTGGTACTTCCGGTCGACTCCTGTAACAACACTTGACCAAAGAATACTGCACCTCCTGGAAGTGTAGCTTAGAACTGACAGAGCTATCTAGAAAGTCTGTCTAGTTTGGGATAAGGTTTTAGGTTTTTTCTGTAGTAACATTTGCCTTGGTAAACTTGATAAGGGAAGATAGTTAGTATACTTCAATGGATAACAAGGACTCATAAAGCTATCAAGTATTAATAAAGTTATATTGTTGGAACTACCCAGTAGAAATACTGATAGAACTACCCAGTAGAAATAAAATTTGAAATGTCTGTCTTGGATACAATAGATGTCAGTCTTAGGTGGGTCTCTATCTTAGGGAGGATTTGTAATATAAGAAATAGCCTATATCACCGCATGCTTTTTATCTAGTTCCTAGTATGGCACCACCAAATGTCACTGCCAGAAATACGAGTTCAACCAGTATTCTGCTAGAATGGGATTTGTTACCCGAGGATGATAGAAATGGAATACTACTTGGTTACATGGTCTACTACACAGATCGTAGCGGAGTGGAGCAGACGTTTGTTCATGATTCGACATCACTCTATCTTGATTTGCAAGGTCTGGAAAAGTTTACTGAGTATAGTTTTGAAATCACGGTGTTTAACAGTATTGGTGAAAGCAACCGCAGTGAAATCGTGTTTTGTAAAACTGACCAGGACAGTAAGTGATGTTTTCTTATTGATATTTTTTGGTCACCATTAGTATAGTTTTCAGTAAGCACTACAGCGCAGTATGGTCATATACTTACAGACGCAATTCTATGTATTTGCTACCTATAACATACAAAATACAAGAGTACTACATAGATACAATACAAGAATTAACATTATTTTCTCACAACTGCTGTTTGACTTCCATCTGCTGTTGCTTAGTGTAATCCTTATACAGGACAAGCTCATTTGGTATTAATGGCGACAGAACTTAAATTCATTTTCAGAGTGAGACAACTCGTATGAAGTGTGAACATTTTTTATATTCTCATTTTACAAGCGTATGAAACAATTACGTGCAAGGACTATGCTTAGGAAGCGAAAAAACGCCAGAAAATGCTAACAACAACCCTAATACTACGAGATAGTGTTTTCTGTAGTCTAATATTTTTCAGTCAAAAACTGTGCCGTCAGCGAAATAACCGAAGGCAGGCACCTCGATCTTTGATCTTTCATCATCTTTGATGTCATTGATCGGTCGTTGATTGTACTTTTTTTTCTTTTCGTAATTTATTTCTCTATGTTCAAGTGAACGACGAACTGTTGCTTCCAAAGTTTCAAGTCGCTTCAGTTTGACATTCTGTGCTTCAAGATTCGCATTGATTTGTTTCAGTGTTTCATTCAGTTGCGTAAATTTCACTTCCATTTTGTCCAGTTTCTCATTGACTTTATTCAACTCTTGCCGCATTTCCCCACAGTCATGGCACTTGACTCTGCGATGTTCACACACAGCTGTTTCATGATGAATCAAATCTCGTTTATTCACCTCTAACTCGCATTCTTCGTTCGAACAGACGACCGGAGTGTAACCACACTCGTCGATATGCCTTTCAAGCTTCCCCAACTCTATAAATCCACAGCCTCGGTTGAAGTACTCACAGCGAATCTTAAACTCAGACAAACAACCTGTCACGATTCTCGGCGCTTCGCGAAGCGTGTCAACAGTAAGCTCGTCCATACACGAAGGACAAGTGTGAGAATTTGTGAGATGTTTCGTGATACAAGCTCGGCAAAATAAATGTTCATTGTCACGGCACATTACTGGATCTTTAAAGACATTAAAACAGATCACACAGTGATAGTTTTTGCTCACAACACTCTCGAATCGTTCGGCTTCGTATCCTTGCTCAAGTACAACTGCCATGTTCATTCTTTGTTTTTATCGTTCTTGCATGGCCGAGATACTAAGTGCTTTGCTGCTTATTACAAGTATATCGTCTGTCAAATTTACATCTATGCCGTAGCCGTTCAGTAGCTGTTCTGTTCATGAAATTCAGTCGAGCTAAACTTAGCTTTGAGCTGGATCAGATCACGCCAGAATGCCAGATATGACAAAATTGATTGCGAAAGATAGCTCGTGACCAAAGGTCATGAACTTTTTCGTGGAATAATAAATATAATAACAAACAAGAGGTTTACGAAGGAAATGAATATTGAATATTTGATTTTAAAAATCTGAATAATGAATAATGCATTTAGTAAGGTGGGAATATAGAGTCTTGAAATAATAAATTATTGAGGCACAATTGACCATTTGCGTAATAGACTAAATTTTGATCTCAACAAAAATTTCATTATAGCTTGAAAGAGCATCACAAAATTAGTAATATTCCAAAGTTTCGTTGCAAAATGTTGTAAAATGCGGAAAATATAGCCTTGCGAAATTTGCAATTTTCAGTCATTTTAGATTACAAACCGGAAATTGACAGCCTCGAAGGGGTTGGGGCTGTCAATTTCCCGTTTGTAATCTAAAATGACTGAAAATTGCAAATTTCGCAAGGCTATATTTTCCGCATTTTACAACATTTTGCAACGAAACTTTGGAATATTACTAATTTTGTGATGCTCTTTCAAGCTGTGATGAAATGTTTGTCTAGACTTGTTTAGTTCAAAATTTAGTCTATTACGCAAATGGTCAATTATTTTGCTGAAACTTAAAGGAAGTCCCTTTCATCTAAAAATGATTAGCTCTTGAGACATGCTGTATATATTTATTCCTAGGACCAGATCTGCCACCCCAGGACATCGTAGGAACACCAACATCACCAAGTACCATGGGCATTGTTTGGAAACCAGTTCCATTCCCATTTGGTCGTGGTATTATTCTTGGATATCGTTTCATATTTTCCACCATGTCTGGAGAAATTCTGGAAACAAAAACCCTGGCACCTCAAGAAGACTTTACCTCTGTCGGACGTTTAGAGATATTCACCAACTATACTCTGAATATGACTGCGTTTACCATTAAAGGCGATGGACCATGGGCTAGTAAAGTGGTGTTGTCTTTACAAATTGGTAGGTTAGGGTTAGGTTACGCTACGTTTACACTCTACTGTAATTCCCACTTCATTCGTAACGTATCGTACAGTGGCGTAACGGAGGAACAGGGGACCCTTAGGCATATTTGGTGTGGGGGGCCCTGTTGACTGTTGTCATTGTTTGACTGCAGATTGCCAACCCTTGAGTAGCAGAAATAGTGAGTTGCTATCTAAAAAGTCGTGAGATTGACTGGAAAATCGTGAGATTTTCAGGTTTGCTCATTAATATGACCAGGGTTAACTTTAACAACACTAGAAAATAATCAATAGATATTCAATTTTATGATAGTATGCATTTATATTTTGTTAACATTAATATAACCGTAAATGCAAGGCTTATTAAAAATAGGCTGATTTTTCTTTATGGCTTTAGTAGTTTCCACTGTACAAAAACAAGAAAACTACGAGTAATATTAGGACTAACAGGACAATAAACTTAGCAGGACACACCTTTTACTTTGTAACACAAACATCACGCATACAAAATTGCTGGCGCATTATCAATACACGAATAAAGTGTGATGTTTCCTTTGAAGAGTGTGTCTTATTGTAACTAGATGTTGCGCTCTTCGATGATTTCATAAGTTCTGAAAATCGTGAGATTTGCGGACTTAATCGTGAGATCGTGAGAAAGCATTAAAAATCGTGAGTCTCAAGATTAAACCGTGAGACTTGGCAGGTCTGTCAGACTGAGATATTATATTTATATTGAATATTTATAGAATGTTCTGGAAAATTCCATGTCTATAACAATATAACAGTCTCCAACACATGTAACAACTACTAAGAATAACTTTTGTTTTATTTGAGATGGAATAAAAAAATCAGCTACCGTTATCGATGGAGGCTTTATTATTTAGCATTATTAATTTTGCATTTTCACATTGATTCTTAACCTGCATTTTTTACATTTTCTAATTTTCTGGGCGATAGGCCGTGGGTGATGGGGCCCCTAACTGTCAGGGGCCCTTAGTTTTGGAACTCACCCTACCCAATGAGCGTTACGCCACTGGTATCGTAGCATTTTCTTCTGTGTCGAAGTCATTAGTTTCACTCTAGTGTGCAGGAAACAACGAAATACGATACGCTTGATGTGCAAACCGCCTTTACTGGATCTCCAGGGAGGACAGTTCAGAACTGATAGAACTACCCAATATGAATATATTTCGTTTAATTTAGAAAATCAATAAGCAGTCTTCATTTATTTCCATTTAGCTCCAACCATTCCGCCGTCGAATCTAAGTGCCGCTAACTTCTACTCATTAAACAGTCTTCCAGTACAATGGATCAAAGTGCCTCCAGAACTAACCAAAGGCTATATACTTGGCTACAGACTGTATCTTAAGCTGATTACTGTTGGATTGGAAGAAGTGCCCGATGCAAGAGTGACGGAGATCATTCTTAAGGGGCAACCGTCTTCGTATGTTTTCGAGGGATTGGACTTCTTTTCTAAGTACCAAATATATCTTATTGCATATACAGTGGGTGGTGATTCTCCGAGGAGTAATATTATTTATGCAGGTGAGTTAATTGTTAGGCTTCAGTTTATTTGTAGGCCGTGAAAGGATTGTACTTGTAGTTTTGAATGTGAAAACAAAGAATGTGGATCTAGAGTCTCATGAGTTGTTACTCCTACAGTACTCGAGAAAATATCGCTCTAAAAAATGAAAATGAAAATAGTCTTTCTATTATTCTTTAGAAACTTGCCGGTGTGGCCCAACACTGTCAACACAATGGTCAAACCTTGCTCCATATACCAACATCACAAATCCAGAGTATTACAATAAGAAAATACTAAAAGATGACTGGGGAATCTTTCCTTACATCGTGAACGATGCTGTAGTCTTTTGCTGTCAAACCTGCCGAAGCCACAACTACTCCTCGGTTCTTTTTACACAAAACTATCACGGACAGCCAAGTGAAGTGTTTGGCAACGAGGCATTGGTCAACTCCATCGATGGTTTAACAGATCTAACTTTCCCAATTTATGGTTATGTGGGCATGTCATGGTACCATCAGATATATAAGTATACTCCTCTTATCGAGTCTCCTGGGAGTGCATTCTTAGTACGAAAAGAAAAGAGTAACCTGAGTGGGTTATTAATGTTGAATATTTTGGGCAACTGGCCACTTGCTGTTATGATTGTCTGCATGGCATTTGCTGCTGGGGCTATTATGTGGTGGCTGGTAGGTTCTACGAAAGTTTAATGGACCATTTGCATTATAGACTAAATTTTGATCTAAACAAGTTGACACAGCTTGAAAGGTCACAGCTTGAAAGAGCATCACAAAATTAGTAATATTCCAAAGCTTCGTTACGAAATGTTGTAAAATGCGGATAATATAGCCCTGCGAAGTTTGCCGTTTTTCAGTCATTTTGTATTACAAACGGGAAATTGACAGCCCCCCAAGGGTGTTGACTATTGGGCTGATACTGCTCTATAATGCAAATGGTCCATTGTTTTGTTAATGTGTGTTCAATTCCTGTAATATACAGCCTGTATGATTATAAATGCAGTCTCAGTCGCATTATGGATGGTTTATTCTTGTAGTACCAGTAAGAGATGAACCCCAGTATAAATATTGAGTTATCTTAGTTCTTCTGATAAAAAAATCAACAAAGCAACATCATTTCGCAGGGCTAAATTTTCGCAGCTATGTTGTTAAGCATTTCACTTTTTTCAGGAAAAGTCTGGAAACAGTGAAGAATTTTCACCTTCAGTTATCAAAGGAATATTGAACGGATTCTGGTGGGCTTATGTCACTATGACCACCGTGGGGTGAGTATAAATAAAGTTAGTTTAAAACTAATTTAGGTTAGGTTTATCAAAAACTCCTCCTTATATATTTTGTGTTCAGGTATGGTGATCGGTCACCGCGAACAACATTAGGACGACTATTTGCAATCACGTGGACTCTGGCAGGTTTGATTGTTACTGGCATCATGGTGGGAAACCTAACTTCGTCACTTACCGTATCTGTATCTCAGACGGAGAAGATTCTTTATGGTGCTAAGGTATGTTTATAACAAAACTTCGGTTGATAAGGATACAACTACTTTAAAAATACAAGGAGAACTTTAACGATTCGAGCGAAGGCCCTTCATCGTACTAACTTCACGACGAAGCTCCTTCGCTCGAAACGTCGAAGTTCTCCTTGTATTTTTCAAGTAGTTACATCTCTATCAATACGAAACTTACTTATTATTGCCACTATTGGTACAGCCCATTCGAGATTATATATTTATAACTATATACCACTCCTTGTCTTGCCTTATTTTACCTTAAAGTACCATACCATATACCATACCATACGTATACGATACCGTATCATACCATGCCATACCATATACCATACCATAGCATAGCATACCATACCATACCAATACCATACCTTAACATGCGTTAAAACCCCTTTTGTTGTAAATACCATAAAGTTCTCTTTTCCATGTTTATAATAAAATTATTTTATTTGTTTTAGGTCGGCGCTTTGGATTTAAGTCCAGAATTTCGACTGGGAATACGGTTGAACGCAAAGATGAATACAGGTGTGTACGAATCTTTGTCTCAGGGTCATGTGAGAAGAGTGCTTCCAGTTCAACTCTTCCAAAACGCACAGGTACCCCGGTGTCCTGTTGTAGTAACACTGGACCAATGGGTCTTACTGAACCTCTGAAATGAAGAGTTGTTTATAGTATAAATAGATTTAGTGTTGTTTTCCTCCCGAGATAACACTTGCCCAATAAGGAATGGCTTTTACCGACCTTGGTAAAGAACAGTTCAGAACTGATAGAACTCTACAATATGAATCAGCATCTAAACGATAAATTGTAAATATTATAATTCTATTCTCTTACTTGTAAATATTACACGGCCCTATGAAAATCAATATCAATTGATAGGTTACCGTGTATAAATATAATTAAATACAATACAATACAATACAATACAATATAAATAAAGTTAGTTTAGTTTAGACCCCTATGGCGACCCCTATACTGGGCCCTTAAACAAGGAACAAGTTAGAAGTGATAGGGCTAGTTAGTTTAGTTTAACATCAGGTTATTTTGAAATTTATAAATTACTGTCTTCTCTTTGCAGTGCGGGCCTACCAGACGTTGGACGAGCTTCACGAAGCCTTACTCAATGGCGAAGTGGACGGAATCTTACTGGATGCGTACATTGTAGGCAGTCGTAAGGATCTGTTCAAAAACCCAAACGTACTCGTGAACAAGATCAAGGATTATCGATCCGCGTATGGCATCGTGTGGGCTGGCAAAAGTTCGAGAATGAAAGTTTGCTTAGACTGGTATATGAAGAGTAGAAAAGGCAAAATGTTCCGTCATATTGCCGGAAATCTGGAAATGGTCAAGAAGGTAAAGAAGATTAGCCTGGCTTCGTAGTGACTTTCATTTATGTTATTTTGTATTTTTCCACCTCCAAACAAAGTATAGTTTAAGTTTCGTAATAAACGAAAATTATGCAGGATAATATATCAAGGTTTTCTTGCTTTCAAGATTGACAAAATAGATATTCAGGCGGAGATGGCCAATATATTTGATCCAACCACAAAGATATACCGACAAACCTTGTTCCTCTCTCTGGTTGGTATGGCCACTGTGGTAGGCTTGGGCTTGATATATGAATTGATTAGGAGACGGAGATTGGCAACTAAGGTGAAACCACAAGGTAATGGGTGGTGCTGTTTGAAGAATGGGTGGTCAATGAGTTTTAACACACTTCATCGTGCCTTCATGATATCATAATTCTACACCACACCATACCATACCATACCATACTATACCATACCATACCATACCATACCATACCATACTATACCATACCATACTATACCATACCATACTATACCATACCATACTATACCATACCATACTATACCATACCATACTATACCATACCATACTATACCATACCATACTATACCATACCATACTATACCATACCATACTATATCATACCATACTATACCATACCATACTATATCATACCATACTATACCATACCATACTATACCATACCATACTATACCATACCATACTATACCATACCATACTATATCATACCATACTATACCATACCATACTATACCATACCATACTATACCATACCATACTATACCATACCATACTATACCATACCATACTATACCATACCATACTATATCATACCATACTATACCATACCATACTATACCATACTATACTATACCATACCATACTATACCATACCATACTATACCATACCATACTATACCATACCATACTATACCATACCATACTATACCATACTATACTATACCATACCATACTATACCATACCATACTATACCATACCATACTATATCATACCATACTATACCATACCATACTATACCATACCATACTATACCATACCATACTATACCATACCATACTATACCATACTATACTATACCATACCATACTATACCATACCATACTATACCATACCATACTATACCATACCATACTATACCATACCATACTATACCATACTATACTATACCATACCATACTATACCATACCATACTATACCATACCATACTATACCATACCATACTATACCATACCATACTATATCATACCATACTATACCATACCATACTATACCATACCATACTATACCATACCATACTATACCATACCATACTATACCATACCATACTATACCATACTATACTATACCATACCATACTATACCATACCATACTATACCATACCATACTATACCATACCATACTATACCATACCATACTATATCATACCATACTATACCATACCATACTATACCATACCATACTATACCATACCATACTATACCATACCATACTATACCATACCATACTATACCATACCATACTATACCATACCATACTATACCATACCATACTATACCATACCATACTATACCATACTATACTATACCATACCATACTATACCATACCATACTATACCATACCATACTATACCATACCATACTATACCATACCATACTATACCATACCATACTATACCATACCATACTATACCATACCATACTATATCATACCATACTATACCATACCATACTATACCATACCATACTATACCATACCATACTATACCATACCATACTATACCATACCATACTATACCATACCATACTATACCATACCATACTATACCATACCATACCATATTTCGCTACACCATACTATATACCATACTATACCATACCATACCATATCATATTTCGCTATATCATACTATATACCATACTATACCATACCATATTTCGCTACACCATACCATACTTTACCATATCATACCATACCATACCATACTATGCCATACCATACCATACCATACTTCACTACACCATACCATACCATACCATGCATACTTTACCATATCATACCATACCATGCCTTACTTCACTACATTATACCATACCTTACCATACCATACCTTACCATACCATACCATACCATACCATACCATACCATACCATACCATACCATACCATACCATACCATACCACGCCATAAGATTTTAGAATCATGCAATTCATTAGTAGTTCAAGCCATGTGTTTCAGCACAACAACCAGAGCAATCATTTCACTTGACTTACTACAAGCTCACAATAACTGTTGTCTATTTCTCTAGGAGAAAATGAGATGAAAAATCAATGTGTTAAAACAATAGATCAATGTGTTGTTCAAACAACGGCTGACATAGTTCGTCGAGCTCAGGCGATGAAAACGAGACATTTACAACAACTGAGAAAATTCAGGCAAAGAAGTTGGTTCAAAAAATCAAAGGTTTGCCCTTCGACCGTAACCAGTGAAGTTAGCGAGGATATTACCTAATTTATTAATAATATTACCTAATATTTCCTATAGTGATGGTTTCAGTAAGCTTTGCGAGTGAGCAAATGGTGGTGAGAAATGTTGATATTTATAAGAGCAAGCAATGAAACTAAATCTCTCTCTTTTATTGATTGAATCTCCATCATCTGCTGCACGACAGTGCTTAGTGAAACCCATCATTAGAAACTTGCCTTCTTGAAGCGTAGTCTAAAACATTCACACTAAACTAATTCAATAATAATTAAGCTAATGATTGGAATGAATTATCGATTGAATTATTGATTAACCGATACACTTATTAACCAATTAACGATTTAAACGTGTGAAAACGCTCATGTCAGTATAATTGCCTGTATACCATAAATTGTAAAACTAAATAAATTATTATAAGCTAGTATAAAAGCTTGTTAATTAATAAAACTAGACCGTATTTAACCATAAATAGCTAAATAATGTAGATGTTAGATCTAGATGTAAATAGAACCGTATAACATTAACATACACAAAATTATAATTAAATTTTTGGATAGTATAATTTCATACGTGAAATAGTTTTTAAAGTTAATCATATTTTGTGATTTTCAATAAATGATAATATTAAATATTTAAATCTAATGTTCGTAAAATCGTTGTTTAAATTTAATCTTGGTTAAAATATATTATGTAGATACAATTTTCGTGTTTGTTTTTTTTTGCTTAAATGTGTTATTTCGAATTTTCTTGGCAATATTTGGCTTCAGCTGATTGTTATTTAGTTCACGACAGGGTGTCACAGCATGCAGTATATCATTCCGGAGAATCTTATATTCGTACTGTACTAACTACGGGAGGGAACTTGAGGCCAGCGCTGTTTCATAACCGGCAATTCAAACTACATGAATGCATTCGTCTCACAAGCCACTAAGGAAAAATCAGGGTGACCATAGTTTTCGATTGAAATCCCACTTGGTTGTCTCAATAAAAAAGTAAATAAATAACCGGATTAAGTTTCTAACTATATGACCTCAGAGAAGTAGACCAAGTCAGCAAAACGCATCTTCAATTTGCATTTTTTATAGATAATTTTATTGCTGTTCTGATAATGCAAGCATTAAGAACAAGGGTAACCAAGCATTTCAACTGTGTGAGTGAATTGGACACTAGTCGTGCATGAATATATGCATGCGTTTATAGGAATTATAGCTCGTCAAAAACAGAATGAACTTCCTTTGACCTCACAAAAATATCAGTTCTAATAAAGCAAGCATAGAACGGAATTTAACCGTGCATCTTGAGTTGATATCTGTGTGAATTAAGTACATGATAACAGTCACAACATCATAAATAAACGCATATATAAACGCACATATTATAGGTCTATATTTCCGAATTAATCCATTTCACTCAAATTTTGGTAATATTTAAGAAACGTGATCTCTTCAGCTTTCATCACCGACCCAATGTGTTGATACTAATGCCTGTTTATCAGGATCAATTTACAGTAACATACGCCATCAATGCTTCCGTTTCAGCGCGACTTCCTCAGTTATTGCTGAAACTGGCACATAAAACGATATTCAATCTTCTCTTCCTTCAGATAGCCTTGTATCACGATGGAGTGCAGACGTGTATTCATGTTCTCCGCGTTTCTGCTCATTTCAGGTTAGTTCCAAATTGAAATACATTGTCGTATACATGTACATGTACATGAATGTATAAACGCGCATTTTACGGGCGCAAATTGCGCAAATATTAAATATTTGTGTTTGCATGTGCGCGCTGATATTAGTGCGTTCGCACTGTTGCGCAAACAAAGCCCAGAGTAGAAAGCGAGTGTATTTTGCAAATACCAAAGTGTGATTGAATCTGTTGTGCTATTTTCTACTTGCATATAGTTGCTGTAAAGTGTGGATAAGGGTAGCGGATTTCAAATTTCCAAAATAATATCACGGAAACAGAATATGTTCCGCTTTTAGTTTGACATATGTAGTGTCTCATTCCGTAAAACACTCTTTCAGCAGCAATTATCCTAAAATGCGTTTAAAACAATTTATATAACGCAATATATTCAAGACGGAAGTAAAGTGGAACAAACTGCGCGTTGATTTTATCTCTGACAACAGTGACAAGCACATGATTTAAAATTTAATTCTCTGTTTGATTTTCACAGTATTTTCTCTGCCATGTTGCGGCGATGCTAAACCAAGAGTCGTTAGGAATGCGCCATCTTTTCGTCTTGAAGATCTTGATAGTGGTTTGGGAAAAACAGTTGACGTCAATGGTAAGTATGTTGACTGTTTTCCACAAGTATGTTATTATAACATATTGGAGATGTGAGGCGCACAGTGGTCAGTCCATTTGTCTCCTCTACATTAATTGGAGCAACACGTGATGACCCTTCCTGCACCTCCAAAGAGAACAGTTTATAAAACAATATGGATATAGAGTTATTTAAGTTTGAGTTTCCTCCTGCAAATCTGACCAATATAGCAAGCCCTTATTGGACCTCTACCACTCTAAGACTGAATTGAATTTGGTTTATATTATCTTTAATATGTTTGCTTACATTATATTTTATTTAATATATTTGTTGACACGTAGTATTCGTTAACGTTTGCACATCTTTGTAAAGCTTTCTTTCAATACATTTTCTTAATCTACCGATATATTTGTTCAGAACTAGATGAAACATCAACACCGACATTTGGAAATGACGAAGACGCAGTTTTTCTGAACACTGACAATGACAGGCGATCTATACCAAGACGAGAAAGACGTCAAGCCCAAAGCACAACTCCGATAGATCTTTCTATTTCACAAGAATGTGAAGGAATTACTCTACGATGGGTTAAACCCAATATTCCTTTTAGGTAAATCAAACAATATATCTTATCCTTGCCAGTATATCATAAAGTCAAGTATACACGTCTAGAGGTGATAGAGGGCGTTAATAGATCTAAAAAAGGAGAACATGAGAACTAATAGAGAATTCACATTATATACTTTTGTTGTTTAGTACGGCATTCCATAGTAGCAATCCAGAATTCAGCCATTACAATATCTATCGTGAGACGAACTTTTTCTCCACCATTGCTGGCCTGAATCCCATTGCATCAGGAAAAGACATACCAGAACTTCAGAATTCACAACTCGACAAATGGATTGACAAATTTCCTCCCACAGGAACAGGTCTATTTTATGCTGTCACTGTGGTCAACCACAGAGGAGAAGAAATACAAAATGTTGTTCCTAAACAGGTAATGTTTGTTTGTATATTTGCGTTTGTTTGTTTGTCTGTCTGTCTGTCTGTCTGTCTGTCTGTCTGTCTGTCTGTCTGTCTGTCTGTCTGTCTGTCTGTCTGTCTGTCTGTCTGTCTGTCTGTCTGTCTGTCTGTCTGTCTGTCTGTCTGTCTGTCTGTCTGCCTGCCTGCCTGCCTGCCTGCCTGCCTGCCTGTCTGTCTGTCTGTCTGTCTGTCTGTTTGTTTGTTTGTTTGTTTGTTTGTTTGTTTGTTTGTTTGTTTGTTTGTTTGTTTGTTTGTTTGTTTGTTTGTATGTTTGTATATTTGTATATTTGTATATTTGTGTTTGTTTGTTTGTATATTTGTGTTTGCTTGCTTGTTTGTTTGTTTGTTTGTTTGTTTGTTTGTTTGTTTGTTTGTTTGTTTGTTTGTTTGTTTGTTTGTTTGTTTGTTTGTTTGTTTGTTTGTTTGTTTGTTTGTATATTTGTGTTTTGTATATTTGTGTTTTGTATATTTGTGTTTTGTATATTTGTGTTTTGTATATTTGTGTTTGTTTGTATATTTGTGTGTGTGGTATTGTTGTGAAAGTATGACCGTGATTGATTTCTAAATAATTTAATTTTAGATATCTTTCTTTGGCACGTTTGACAATGTTGGTGGTTTGCCGGTTAGAATCATGCCTAATATTATAAAAGGAAATGTGCTATATCACAGTGTTGCCTACAATAATATTCGAAATGAATATTTTGTTGTCTTCGACGTGGATCAGAATAGTGACAATACCCCTGACCGAGTATATGGACTTCGTGTTAATGGACTAGGGCAGATCCTGGACAGACAACTGATTGATTTCACTCTTGGGGGAGTCTCAAGTAAGCCAAATATATTTATTTGAATGAAATTAAAAATCGTTCTTGCAATAAGTAACAAAACATAATAAATCATTGGAAAATTAATAAATCAACATAATAATCATTACAGTAGAAAATTAATATAATTCAGCTACCTCGGTTTCATCTTGTGGCAATAGTATTTGTTTGTCTAGAAAGAATTAACAGTAACTAGATTGACTGTTTGAGTTAACATGTTAAATGAAATCTTGTTATCTTTACAACAGCGGAACAAGGTCATCCCACCGTGGCGTTCAATCCAAGCACACAAGAATATCTAGTCGCCTGGCATCTCAGCGCGTCAGTTATACAAGGCGGTGCACACATTATTATCGCGCAGAGAGTGTATGGGCACACAACAACTAGGAAGAGCAATCCTTACATGTTGGTGAATGCTAAATTACCCACTGGATTTCGGCCCATTATTCAACCAAAGTTGATGTACAATGCTGGTTCTGGTAAGTTGGGACTAATTTCTATTTATGGTGGTCAACCTTGGGAAGAATACTGTAGTTACCAGAGTGTGGTACATGCATTGCAATGGAAACTTGTTAACTAATTAACACTCAACCAATATAGGATGGCTCAATCTCTAGAGAGAATGTTTTAGAACTGAGAGTGTAACAGGGATATTTTGCGGGGGGGGGGGGCTGGACCCCATAATCCTGAATTCCACCCAAATCCGAAAATAGCTAAATTTTGTCTGGGGGCAGTATTCTCCCTCCCCCCCCCAAAAAAATGGAATATGAATATCATTATTAATATTAAAATGGTAAGTGATAAGGCATATAACCTTGAGTATAAAAATGGGTAATCACTTGGAGGTGCAGTTAGTGAACCCAGACATCATTTCTATCCCCTCACTTGGACATAGGTGAGCGTGGGAAATTACGTCTGAGTTTGTGAATATACAGTAGGAGGGGGAAATCCCCCCCAAATAAAAAACTCCTGAAATTTGGGGGGGGGGGGCTCCCACCCAAGTCCCAAAACCTAAAATACCCCTGGTGCAAATAAAAAGTAGTTTAGTTTAAATATACATGTTAAACACCAAAATGGCGAGGAAACATTTACAAAGGATTTTTGACTTGTAGGTGGTTATGTTATGACTGCCATGTTAGTGGAACCACCAAAGACACTCTTCGTTGTCTTCATCAAACCAGATGGCAAAGCCTCGTCTTTATCAGGTCTCTTTAAAGGCCAAGTCTTAGAGGGAAGTCTTTTTATGGACACAAAATTCCGACAAATATACATTGTCTATCAAGTTCCACAGTGGGCCGCCACAGCTACGGGCCAGAGTTTAAGGATAAAGCAATATCCCTACATTATCTTACTCACCAAGGCTAATGCCACTGGAACACTACTGACTCTAGGAGATCCCAATTCTGTGAGACATTTGGTTGGTTATACCAGGGAACGCAACGCCCACATTAATGGGTATTTTGACGAAGCAAACGGATGGTAGGTGTCGTTTTAATTGTTTAAGTGAACATTTGTTATATGAATAAACTACGTTCATTGATTGAGAAAGCTTTAAACTCGGATCGTCGTTAGTGCAAATAATAAGTCTCTTCTTTGGAGCATTTACATTGTTATGTAGCAAAAATTATTTCAAATACTAGGATACTTTTCCGTACATATAGGTTAAATGTGTTTTGGAACAACCGGGAGAATGGTAAAAAATTTATCAGTTCTGCCAGTGTAGTGGGAATTCCAGGAACATTTCGAAAAGACCCGGATACCCATGAATGCCGTCAACATGAGAATGTTCAAAATTCAGCGTCGTGTTATCTCCCAACCAACAACGGTCATATCATGATCTGGGAGAAGGGAACCAAGCTTAGCGGTTATCTGGTCAAAGATGGTGCTTTTAATCCCGTGCGAGGAACTCAACGTAGTGCGAAGGTGTTGTATAATTCAAGGCAGAGTCGAGCGTTTGTTGTGTATCAGCAAACTGTCAGTGGTAGTAGAGTGCTGTTTGTGAGAAATATTGCACCTGGATCACAGTCCAGTTGTAGCAAGGCATGTAATTCCAGTGAGAGATGTGTCATGAAGGATGTCTGCATTTCACGCAATCCAGGTAACAGTCTGTTTTTAAATTTCTGAAACAATAATAATATACTTGTAATAATATTTATATTCTATCATACCTGATTTCTAGTTGCAGTAAATAACGCTCCAACATGTTTAAAAGATAAAGGTGGTTGCAGTCACACTTGTACGAGTCTTGCGAAAGGCAGAACATGTTCCTGTCCAGCGTCTTACACACTTGCTCTGGATGGAAAGAAATGTTTTCTCACAGGTAATCAAACTGAATAACTGCTATGCTAAGTTGCAGGGATGTTGGTTGTAATGGCAGTACGATGTTCCATACCTGCAATATGCAATTTGTAATTATATTTTGCCTCAATTCTTTTCCATAGCTGCGAAGCCGGACGTCTCCCTCCTGTATTCAACAGCAAGTTCAATATGGTCTGTGAGTATCTACTACGCAGAGAAACGCGTATCATTCGCACGGATACCAATCCAAGGACAACATATCATTGCATTCTTCTACAACGCAAAAGACAATTACTTATACTGGGCAGACTCCAAAGAGCAGAAGATTCGCAGATCGCATTTGGACGGAACTAATAAACAAGTTATTGTAAAGTAAGTGTCGGACGTTTTAATATATGTGAATTTGAGAATATCTCATGTCAACTAACTTTATTTGTACTGCATAGTTTTGTCCCAAGATAGTCCTGTTGACGATCTTAAATTATTACTTTAAATTATTTTTGCACCATCTAGCAATCAAGTCCAAATACCAGACGGCATGGTCGTCGATCCAGTGGCCAAACAACTGTACTGGGCTGATGGTGCGATTGGTACCGTGTTTTGTTCACTGTTGGATGGTGCAAATGTCGCCTCGTTTATAACTGGCTTAGATAAACCTCGAGCATTAGCACTGCACCAGAAAAACAAGTAAGCTTTTGTTTCAACTGTTGGTGACGAAATTGCAATTGAATGTCACCAGATCTTATTGACGCATCTACTTACCTACCTACCTACCTTACGTACTTACCTGCCTGCCTGCGGGCTGGCTGCCTGCTGACCATCTTACGTTCCTACCTAACCAACCAACCACCCACCCACCACCAACTTACATAAACACATACCTGCCACCTGTCAAACTGCTTGTCTACCCGGTACATATCTGTCAGCCTAGCTACTTTACTAATAACGTATCTGAACCATTGAGGATTTCTTAAATATTTAGGTGGTTATTCTGGACAAACTGGGGTGTTGTAGCGAAGATAGAGAAAATCAAAACTGATGGCACGAACAGGATCGTTGTTATTTCATCTCGTTTACAATGGCCGAACGGCTTAACACACGATGGAAAATATTTGTACTGGGCTGATGCTCATTTTGATAAAATAGAAATGAGCGACTTCAACGTAAGTTCAGTTCTTTTGAAATATTCTTATACGAATAGGGTCCAGTAAGGACCATGCTTTCTTCCTGCAGTGTTACGTTGCAAAGAAAGCGCAGTCAAACTGCAAATATTCTTAATCTCTGCATGTGATTCTTCAAGTACTAACCACTGCGCCGCTAACACCCCTCCGTTTAATTCATTTGCGTTTGAGAAGCGAAAAATTTAGAGCAATTATAGTCCTGGGGCCGGTTGTATAAAACTCTTAATCACTTTCTTCATCACTATTTTGTAGTCAAATAGTGATTAACTCTCAAATAGGCGCTTCTTATTGGATGACGTTTGCACTTAACCATAGTTAACTTTAATCACTTTTTTATACAACCGCCCCTGGTGTTCACAGAACTGTCCTGGCATTTATAAAGTTGATTTTTTATAATTATTTACAGGGAAACGGTAGAGTCACTGTGACTTCGAACGGTGTTACTCATCCATATGGTTTGGGAATTGTTGGAAACAGGTACCAGTCACTATTATGATTAAATTGGTATCACTGCTTCCAGTACCAACATCACAACCATCAGTAGCTTTGACACCACCACAAGCATGATCATACAGTAATCGTCATGGTGATTGCTACTCTCACTATATCGCCAATGCCAATCATGAACACTACCATCATTAACTATATCACCATCATCACTACTACCATCACTGTTACTGTAATCACTACCGTCATCTTTAGCACCACCATCACTCCATCAATATCATCATTACCATCACTGTTACTGTAATCACTACCATCATCTTTAGCACCACCATCAATATCATCATTACCATCACTGTTACTGTAATCACTACCATCATCTTTAGCACCACCATCAATATCATCATTACCATCACTGCTACCAATCACATTATCGTTGACTTTGTTTGAACTAGATTATACTGGACTGACTGGTCTGGCCACATTCGTTCATTGAATAAAACTCAAGCTTACCTTCCACCTGAAGAGATTGCCGCTGGACTTCAGAAACCATTCTCTTTGCAGATCTATGATGGAACGGCTGTACTGAAAGGTGAAATATGAATAGTTTGACGAAGCCAAGTAATGTCTTTTTGAGCAATTAGGAAAGCATATTCTGACCTAATCTGGAAATCAAAGTATTCTGGAAAAAAAACTTTTAAATAGGGCATTAGACAACCCAGGAATATGTTCCATTGTCAGTATAGATCACAACACTGTTCTAGCTAGTTTGTCTGGACTGTTAGTCATGTATCTAGATTTGGCCAAACGTTAACTGCCAATTGATGAAATGTGTTGTCGTATTGAAATATGTACAGATCATGCAAGGCTACATGGTACTAATCCATGATATAATATTCCCCACAGCAAGTTTCTGTACTGACCCAGGGGTACCACTCTATGGTGGTCGCAACCCACCTCCCACCAAAGCTGGAAGGAAATACAACGTTGGAGATCAAATCATACTCACGTGCAATCCTGGATTTGTTCATCTTGGGTCTAATTCTCGTCAATGTTTACCCACGGGCAAGTGGAGTGGTAGCAATACTCGATGTAAAGGTATGACGTAATATATGCAGTTGTCTGATTCTGAGAGAGGAAAAGGATCCACTTGACTACACCTCATACCCCCAGAATACACCTCATGAAACAACACTGATCGTGAGTGGCTCTTGGTGTTCATCTCGGAAGAACAGTTTAGAACTAATACACCCAATCCAGTAAAGTTAATTTGGTGCATGGGCGGATTTACTGGGAGTTAGGGCGGTTAACCCCCCCCTCTAATAATGTGTTCAACCCCACCAAAATGTCGCTTCACCCCCCCCCCCCATATTTTGTGTGAAAGGCTTTAACCCAAATGCCTAACCCCTGCCAAAGCTCACTGAGTGGTGCAGCTTGCACCCCACCAGAAATTTTCCTACCCCTCCTTTTAAATAAATGAAAATCCTCCCTTGGTTGGGTGTACAGTAGGTTTACTCCTGTAGTAACACTGGACCGATGAAGCATGGCATTGTAGACCACTATCATGAATAGTTTAGCAACACTAGATCATAATGAATCGCCTTGAATAGTTAAATATGGAATTTATATTGATATACACTATCTTCTTCAGCTCTGCCAGTGTTCACCAAGTTGCCTAGCAACAAGACTGCTAGCGTATCGTTTGGAGTAACCATTGAATGTTCAACTGACACCAGGCCAGCTGACAAAGCTACGATCACGTGGTACAAAGACGGCAAAGCGTTGGGTCTCTCAGTCCGATATTATAAAGATCGTGTCACAGGTTATTTGCAGATTCTCAGTGTACTGGTTGACGATTCTGGCTTGTACACTTGCGTGGCAAGCAATGCGGCGGGAAACATTCAGGCATCAATGTATCTGACTGTGAAACAAAAACAGATAGGTAAATATTTGGTAATTATTCTCAGGAAAAATATTTTCACCTTGTTTGCCGATGACATCATTCCCTTCTGTATAGTTCGTTGGCAGTTTTTAACACTTTTTCGTTTTATTTTCAGCTTGTGGGAAGGCTAAATTCACAACTGTAGCTAAGATAATCGGTGGACAAAGAGCTGCGCGCGGGTCTATTCCCTGGCAAATTTTACTGATGAACAACGTGACTAAGGCTCCTTTCTGTGGAGCTAGCTTATTGAATGAAAGATGGGGAGTTACTGCAGCACACTGTCTTGGTAAGTCGAAGGTTTTCTTAAAGTGGCTCTGACACCCACCTTATGACTCATCGCTGAGCACAGCTACGTTGGGAAGGGTCAGTTTGGGGAGGTGGAAGGGCCAGGTATATAGGGGCCAACCCCAACCCACCTTGCCAACATTCTCTGTATGTGGGAGGAAGCCGGAGTCCCCGGAGAAAACCCACGACTTTCAGTAGAGCGTTAACTCACTCTTTACACATAAGTGTGATGAGTCCACAGCGAGAATCGAAGCCACTATCTCAGAGATAGAAGGTGATTGCTCTGACCATTGCGCCATCGAAGCCCCTAAAAGGTCTCTACTATATTATGGTATCTCGTTTTGTAGTTTCAATGAATCTAAACCAAGTAGTGGCCGTATTGGGAGAAACCCGGCGGAATAAGGACGAAAAAACTGAACAATACATGTCCATTACTCAGGTACATTTCCACTCTCAATTCAGCCCAACTACGTTGGACTCTGATATCGCTCTCTTCAAATTTACCAAACAAGTTATATACACTGACTATGTAATACCAGTCTGTCTACCTACCACTTCAGCCGACTTTGCGCTGTCCAGAGCGGGTAACACAGCCAGGATCAGTGGCTGGGGCGCGAGAAAGACCAATAAAACCCACCCAGTGAATTGGCTTCACACGGTTCAACTTCCAACAATTGCCCACAAAAAATGCCAACGAAATCACGCACCGAAGTATTTAATTTCGGCAAACATGCTCTGTGCTGGACGAACCAATGGTAAAGCGGATGCTTGTCAAGGTGATTCTGGTGGTCCATTAACTGTCGACAATAGTGTCACTGGGAAACAGGTTCTCGTTGGTATCGTAAGCTGGGGGGATAGGTGCGGTCTAAAGAATAAATATGGGGTGTATACCAAGGTACAGAACTTTCTGTCCTGGATTAACACTCATATTAGGAAAGTTTAGTTGTCTGTGGACATGACATACTTTTAAAGACATACTTTGGATTTAATTTAGATATGCTTCGTATGTGCTTGATTATTAACAATTACTTTTGAGCAATTCTGATTCACATACTTATAGTCTAATTTCAACACAAATTGACAAAAATCATTTCTCTCATAATGTCGTAGAGGACGAAGGCTTAGATATTTTGGGGTTTTTATGTTGTATTTTAATTCTGTGTGGTGTATAGTATTTCAATAAAATTGAACGCTCACTACTTTTGGGCCTCGCTGAGCAACCACAGTTTGTGTGGATGACCAAGGTTTACTTTTGTTGAGAGCTTTTCTATAATATGTTTGTTAAAGTAACCTCAAATTTTTTATCATCTTATTTTAAGAACTTTTAAAATGATAAGTACGTAAGTTGTTGTGGTATTAATGGGCGGTTGGCCCACGCTGGGGCAGATATAATCTCTTGTTAGTTGAAGGTTGCGATGCTGAAGAAAGGCGAATCTGAAAAGCACTTAAAGTGACATCTTACCATCCTGGAAGAATTTCTTCATTAATTGAAATTGGATATCAACGTTTACTCCAAAAAGGTATTAAAGGAAATCTATAATGTAAAAACTAAAATAATTTTCCTGACCTTCAAAGATGGTTTGAATGAACTTTATATTGTTACTGGAATTAAACTAAGCTATTTCAACTTTGAAATGTCATTTTTTATGTTTATCAAAGCCATGGTATGAGCTTTATTAAACGAACATCCCGGTTAACCGCGCCAGCCCGGCTTCATATGAACATCCCTAAGATTGCATAGCTTCAGTAACGCTCATTCATTATTGTTCCAATGTTACAACAAGAGGAAACTTAACCTAAACTAAACATACTTTATAGCGGATACCTTTATCAGTTCTAAACTGTTCTCTATATATAGTGGTCCAGTAAGAGTAATTCCTGGTCCAGTGTTACTACAAGAGGAAACTTAACCCAAACTAAACATACTTTATACCGGATACCTTTATCAGTTCTAAACTGTTCTCTATATATAGAGGTCCAGTAAGAGTAATTGGCCTCGAGTCTGAGATCCTGTGATGCATGCATAACAAAATATCGACCTCTTTATTTCCCAGTTAGATTCTAGTGCAGATTATTTTCGCCCACAAAATGGTAATAGGCACAAAGAAACCACCTGTTTCATAATTTAAAGTATCTTTTACGCATTTTTTATCCATGCATAGAAGAGTCAGGACCATTTTAGCGAATTTCTTCATAGCTCAAGAATTTTAATTAGAAATATAGATTTTGACCGGATTTAAAAATACGTTCAATGTTTTTTTCTCTTCTAAAAATAAGGAATTCAGAAAGAAAATTGAATAAACATAGAGTCCAGGGTATAGGTCATTTTTTACAATAAGCTTTTGTGGTTTTTGCCTGAAACACCCGAAAAAGATATCTCGGACGTGGAGATCCAGTGTGTGGGTAATATTTTACAATAAGCTGCCGTGATTTGTGTCTAAACTATTTGAAAAAGATATAGTTAACGTTGGGGTTTGGTGTAGGTAGTATTCTTCACAAGAAGCTGTCGTGGTTTGTGTTTGAACAACATGAAAGAGTTATCTCAGGGTTCTAGTGTGAAAAGTAATCTACAAAACAAGCACTGTGTCTGTAGTTTGTGTCTGAACTATTTGAAAAAGATCCATAGACTTCGTGCCGGCAACCGTCTGTCGAAGGGCGTTCGTGTAAAGCCTCAAAGTTTTTTTAATCGTTTTCAAGTTCAAACACAAACCACCGCAACTAATATTATAACACTTAACCGTAATAGCAGTTTTTGGAAGAATACATTCAGGGAGTATTTATTTAACTCCACAAAAGAAATGTGCTTTTTTTACTTATTGGAAAACCGCCACCTTAATTGATTTCGTTAGCCTTGATCGATGGCTAATTTTCGCGTGAATCAGACAATAGTATAAATCGAGCTCTAGGCTTATTACGAGAATAAATAAGTGCATTTATACATGGGGCACGAACGATGTAATTTATGGCTTTTTATATAAACAGCTGCTGTGTCATTGCCAGTGTTTACAACTCATCTTGACGCCTGTTAAATGTGTTTTGCCAACCAAATATACATTTATGTATAAGAAGGAGGATTTAGGTTAACACATTGCTGGTTTTTCTACGTATTTTCGCTCGACGAGCTAGGATCATTTTCAACTGTGTGGTTACATGCGGTCAGTTGATTTGCCAAAAAGCAATTACACGCCTGTTGTTCAGCGCCATTAATTTTGATATTATTCTTACTACGCTATAGCATCTGGTCCAGTCAAGTCAGCCAAAAACCTTTGGAACCCGTAGGATGTTTAATAGCAAAACATGAAAACCATATATAGTTCTTCATTTGAGTTCTTTTCCAGGTAAGATACTTTTCACAATTTTGTTCGCTATACCAATTAATATGTATTATTATGTCAGCATAGATCAGTTATCATAATTATTCTATATTCGAATTTTCAGTTGCTAGATATTTTAGCGATTTTGATGCAGAGTTTTGGCCTGTGCCGTGCAGAATTTAATAACTTGAAACACGCGCGTAATCGTTTGTGATTAAACAGTTGTACACAACACTTTTGCATGGATAAGTTGTCTTACTGTGACATACACGCAACAGCTGAACATAGAGCATTATAAGAAAGGTAATGAATCAATTTGCTGAGTCATTCGTATGTCAGGCATTTTTTGCGTGCTTGAGAAGAGTTTTACCTCGGCATATATTGGACATGAACTACGTATTTTAAATCATATCTTTATATTTATGAGGCGTTTGTCTTAGATTTATTGATTAGCTGATATAAAGAAGTACATTGTATTTGTACATTGAACGTGTTTCAACAAATCATGCATCGGATAATAACAAATCATGCATCGATGAATAACATCAAATGAACAGATTTTTCAAATCACGCAAAGTATATTGTCATTCAGTCAATGATATATTATTTTGTGTGTCATAAATTAAACTGGTTCAGTAAGGGTCATCTCTTATTGATCCAATGTTACTGCAGGAGGAAACCTAAACTAAACTAACTTTATTTATACTGGATAGCTCTAGCTGCTTTCCCTACAGGTCCAGTAAAGGTCATTTTTCTCGAAAGAAGACGAATTTATCATGTGTTTTTTATCGATCTTTCGTTTTTAATAGCGGCAGCTGAAATTTTCTGTATTCTTACACCTATAATTATATTTTGATTATATGATAAAATCTTGATTTTCGAATGAAACGTGTTTTCTTAAGTAATTTGCAAAGCACCTTGGGTAAAACGGTACTACAACAGGTTTCTGTAATAATTTGGTTTACAGTTGAATGTTGAGGATTTTATAAATTTCTCTTATATAAATAGAGATTATAATTTATAAATAAAGTTAATTAATTATTAATGCTAGGAATGCCGGATTTCTCAAGCAAGAACGTGACTTGTGTTAAATATGTATCATT